AGGCCTAACCCCCCCAGCACCCCCATCCTTTCCTCACTGCCCATCTGGTGTGGACAGTTTGCCAGCTGGGGCTCCACTGGACCAGGAGGGACACAGAAAAGGCCCAAGGCAGAATCGGGGTGTGGCTGTGTTCTGTTTGGGCCATGCAGTGTTTTGAAAAATATTTAGATCGCCGACATCCAAAATCAGGACTCTGACTTGATACAAAGTCAGCTGGGGCTGATGGGAGGCTGTGCCCATCGGACGGGGCATGGGTGAGAAAGGCCTTGCACCCCAAAGTCAACGTCCTGAACGGAGGAGCTGGAGAGGAGAGGGGTGCTCGGGCTCACCTGTCCCCAGGGCCGCCCACTCCTGGTCCCCGCTGTCCGTGCGCAAGACCCTGCAGGGACCTGTCAGAGCCAGACCAGCAGCCCAGCCCAGCAACACGGGGCAGCACCCACGCCTTGCTGGCCTCCCGGGTCTCCTGCTTCTGCCCCGGCCCCTGCCCGTCTCCATGGGGCATCCACAGGGGGGTGGGACCGCCTTAAAGCTTAAAGCCTTCAGGAAAGGTTTAAATAGTAGTGTACCCAGTACAATACAGTTGTTCATATGGAAAATTACAGAATAGGTAATGAATAACTGTAGACTGCTCTTAGCCACCCCTGTAGTAAGGCACCCGCAGCAATGTCCTTGGTGTGACAAATGTACGGGGGGGGGGGACCTATGGAAGCCCGCCCTCTGTCCTTTGTCACTCCTCTGTAAACCTCAAATCATCCCCCAACAAAGAAACAAAAGCCTTTCAGTAGCTTCCCACGGCTCCCGGGATAGAACCCATTTTTCCGATGGCCTGTGAGGTTCTGCAGGTCCCGGCCTCTCGAGCCCACAGGCCGTCCCCGCCCGGCTCCACACTGTGGCCGTGGCTCCTGGCTCTTCCAGAACCTCAGGCTTGTTCCTGCCTCAGGACCTTTGCACTTGCTGATCCCCCTGCCTGGAGTACCCTCTTCCCGTCCATTTACCTGGCTGACTTCCCCCCTTCCTCCCGGGATCCGCTCACAAGGCACCTCCTCCGGGAAATTCCCGACTACTGTGGCCAGCGGCGCCTGGGCCTGGCTGCACCGTCAAACTACTCTGTTTATTCATGAACACGTGCCAAAGTCATCTTGCTTTTTGGTTATGTTTTCAGAAGCTCCGTGAGCACTGGGCTGGTTAACTGTGGGCTCTCCTGGCCCAGAATAGTGCCTGGCACATTAGTAAGCCCTCAGAGCGACAACACACACACGCACACGCACGCACACATGCACACACACACGCACACACTCACACGCACGCACACATACACACGCACACGCACGCACGCACGCACACA